CTTCCTTCCCACAGTGACTGGACAGTCGGCAGGAAGGTGGCAGTGCTCAGGAAGCCCGGGCGAGCCCTGAGGGAGTGCAGCTGGAGGACGCAGGCCCTGCCTACAGCAGCACTGGAGCCTGGCCCTCACCCAACTGCCTGCTGTGCCCCACTCAGCACAGCCCTGGCTCCGGCTGCCTTCTCCATCAGAGGTGTGAGCGCGTCCTGTCTTGACTTGGACACTGCCCCAAATTGCAGATCCTGGAAATCAAAGACATTTCTTTCATGTGTGGGCATGTGTATGCTTTGTTTTTTGTGTTTGTTTTCTGTTTTTTCTTTCCTTCCTTCTCAGCCAGTCTATTGGGGCCCTGGGGCATTTTCCTTTGTCTTTCTTCTTTATCTCTTTTTCTTTCACTTTTAACTTGCCTCTCCTAGTTTTACTCCCTATCTACTTCCTTTTTTCTCATCATGTATGTCTTAACTTTTTTCTGCTACCTTTATCTAACTCTATAAATATTCTCTACTCCCCACTAGAATCCTTTGTACCACTTCTCAGTCACCCTTCTCACAGCATAGTTTAAAGTTTCAAATTTTTCCTCAAGTTTTCTAGGAATGCACTCTAATGTTATTAATATCACAGAAGAAAAGAAAAGAACTCAAAACACTACGATCAGGAAAAAGAGAAAGGCAACTTCCTTGGTCTGTCTTGCTTTAAAGTAAAGAAGCCATGACGAGAGGATCAGAGCGCTCCTGCTGTGTCAGGGGCACTGCCAGTGCCTGCACTGGACGATCCCCCGAAGGCCAAGCATGAGGACGTGGTCCCTGGGGCAGCACACCTGGGCGGTGGCAGAACTCTGGAGCCTCGTGGAAAGCGGCTTCCAAGGGCACTGTGGGGCCCAGTCTCTGGTCTGTGAGGTGGGCAGTGTGGCTTTATCACACACTTCCACCATGATGTGCTGCTTTGGCAGAGGCCTAACAGCAGTGGGTATGCTGCAGCACAGATGGCAACCTCTAAAACAGTGGACCCCAGTGTCTCTCTTCTCCTTGTCAGTTAATTACCCTGATGTATTTTGTTACAGCGATGGAAAGTTAACACAGGACCCAGCCTTGCATAGCACTAACAAAATTACTTCTTACCATCTTTAGTATGAAAAGATTAGAAAACAGCATTGATATAGTATCTTTGTGACTTTTCTCACTGCTGAGACAAAATACCCAACAGGCAGCATTAAAGGGGCAAAGTTTATTTGGCTCACAGTGTGGAGAAGTTTCAGTCCATAGCGGGCTGAGGCAGGGCGGAGCAGCAGAGGGGCATCACAGAGGAGAAACGACTCGGCAGACAAAGCGGTGGAGCAGGGAGCAGCAACCACAGCAATCCTCTCTCTGGCCCTTTTACTCTATTGGGCCTTTAGGCCAGAATGTTAAGACACCCAGCGGTGGGGCAGCCTTAATCCTAGCGTCAATCCCAGCACCACACACACTCTAAATCCAGCCACCCCCAAGAAGTGCCAGCTCTGAGTGAGCCTTTGGTGGACCTCGAGACACAAGCCACAGCTATGAGAAGCAAATTATTTGGCAATAGAGAGAGAAAACTGTCACTGCTCACAGTATCTCACTCATTCCAAAACCTGTCTCATACTCTTAAACCTGGCCACCTGACATAGTACAAGTTTGTTAATGGTTCCTTTCACTGTGAAATTTGACAGCCAGGAAAGTAATCTTTCATTCAACAAATAGTCACCGGCTCTACAGAAGGCCTGTGAAACACAGGACACAATCTAGAAGCCCAGGTCACTTCTCAGGTGGAAGACTGCATACACTACCACAGTGCAAAGGAGCTTAAATCATAGGGCCGCAATTCACGTGTCTCACCGCTGAGCGGCGCTGGTGTGAATTCAGCTGTTCCACCAGCCTGAACGCCATGCACACGCATGACTGCCTCTCAGGGGCTCTCTGACACCGTGATGCAGAGAGGTGTTGACTCAGCAGACCAGGTGTCATCGTATTACAGCTCCTTACTGAAAACATTAAAATCATTGTAGTACAGCTAATCCGTGATGCAGAGTTGTAAATGAACATTATATACGCTGGGAACAGGTGACTATATGATATCCATGTTAAAATTTGATAAACTTCACAAATCTGATATGAACAGTATTAACATTTGTATTTGGGGAGTAATTATTCAAATTCAATCAAATAGATTAGGTCCATTTGTAGACTTTATTAATTTTGTTAGTAAGAAGAACACTAAAAATGATTACAAGGGCCGGAAATATAGCTCAGTAGCATAAGCACCTTCCTGGCAAGTACAAAGTCCTAAGCTCAATTCCTAGTATAAAAAAAGCCTTTCCTTCACAAATGGTTACAAATGTACCACAGTGCATCAAGCTACCCAATGGGACAGTCATGGACATACACTGCTTCTGGCTGGTGGCAACATGCAAAACAAAGTGTAGAGGCCCAGGCCTCAGAAGCAAGAATGTTTATCTCCAAAAGGCAGTATAAACCTGTGGCTGGTTTTTTCCTAAGCAAATCTTAATGCTTCTCTTAAATTCTTTATAAACAAACAATTGATAAAAATTTTCAAGAATTTTAAAAAGACAGAATTTGTAATCATTTCTGGAGATAAAGCTGTCTTTACTCTTTAACACAAATAATATTTCTAACTAGGTTACAAGAACGTGGTACAGGAGAACTACAGATGTTTGAAAATTATCATTTATTTTAAATGTAATTCATAGACTATGAACTATAAAATCCTTACTCCAGCCTTCCTAAGAATCTCCTAGGGTCTTGGTACACCTGCCAGCGACCGAGTCTCATTTATTTTAAGACAGTCAGTTCACACTGCCCTTCTCCCCCTTATTATCAGTTACCAAAATATCCCTATGCATTTTCCACCTTTGCCACAGGGCCAACCTTATACTGATAGTTGCTGAAAAATAATAGCTTTTTTGTATAGAAAATACAGGTTACAATTTTTATAAAACTTTGGGAAACTATACATGTGACATTTTATATTTTTAGAATTAAAAATGATTTTTTTGGTCTTTTTGAGACAGGGTCTCACTATGCAGTTCAGGTTAGCCTGGAGCTCATTCTGCAAGCCAGGTTCCTCTCCAGCTCACAGTCCTCCTCCTGCCTCAGCCTTAAAAATGATTTTAACTTAGAAATTTTTCTTGCTCATCTGGTACCTAATTCAGTTGCTGTCATGTTTATGTCTGTGTCCCCCAGGACTCATGAGTGTGCATTGTTCATTTGTGATGGTTCATTGTATAGTGCTTGGATTGATGGGTTAGTGCTACACCCACCTAGGGGTGGAGCCAGGATGTGATGTAATGGCAGGAAGAAGGTATGTCTTCCTCTTTGCCGGTTCGTGTTTGCTGTTTGCAGCCGCCATGAACTGTGGCCCAGCCGTGCCCGCCTGCGTTGGAGCCAACTGAGTGTGTACTGAAACCTCCAAAAACTGTAAGAAATAAACCTTTCCTTTCCCAACTTTGCGCTTCAGGTATTTTGTCTCAGCGACGAGTAAAAAGTAACTAAGACAGTTGCTTTAATAAGCAAAATATATATTCCAATTAACATTTTATAACCAAATAATGCTGTTTGACAACTAAAAATCTAAGCAAGTGTAACAGTATAAATATATGTTTTTTATGAATAAAGGAAAGTTACTTAATGTATGGGATGACACTTTAAAGTTAAAATTAAAGATAATGATCTGTTTGTTTTGAAACCTTATAGAGTAGTGTTTGGTTTTTTTTGTTTTGTTTTGAGGCTCTGTTCTCACCAGAGACAGGGAAGAACGGGAGAGAAAGGAGGGGAGAGGCCAAGCTCAGTGTTACAGTAGGGGAGTGAGTCGTTCTGGGGTTCTGTTACACAGCAGGGTGACTAAGGGTAACAGCAAAGCAGCCACATCTCCAGGACGGAAGGCTAAGCCGACAGCTACGCTAACTGCGTATCGGTCGTTACATAATCAGTGTAAGCATGGAAACAGACATCAAATTTGTTATATTTAATATACACATAATTTTAATATATATTTGATACATAATTTTATATATGCATAATTTTAATATATACTACTCAATGGACACATGATTACATATATATATACTTACACATGCATACAATATTAAAATGCATGTATATATAATCATTATGTGTCGACCAAGTAATAATAAAGACCAAAGAACCTTTAAAGGAAAATACTCTAAGTGAAACTTGTAGGTAAAAGTTAGAAAACAGAAGAGTAGGCAAAGGTTGGGGAAAAAAGAATACAGAAAGACAAACAAATACTTAAAGAGACATTAACCCTAAGAGTAAAAAGACAACACACACCTAGGGTTAGATCTGATACCACGCTCAGCTCTCCCCTTATTATCTGTTGAGTTAAATGAAACAGTTAGATAGCAGGGGCCTCAGTTTCCCTGTAATAAATAGGTACCAAAAAGCAGCCGATAAAATTAAGCACAACTACATTTGTAAATGTGCATATAGTCAGCACCAAGTAAATCTACATTTGCCTTTACCTTAACTTCTCCCCCTCTACTCACTCAGACAATTAAATTATTTCACTCAACCCAAAAGACTAGATTCTAGCAACGTAAAATCTTCTTTCATGCAATTATGCAATTAGGGAGCAAGGAATGAGGAGAACCAGGGAGCTAAGCTCCAGCCTGTGAACCAGCTGGAGCACAAGCTGGGGAGCGAGTACCTCCCCATCTCTCTCCAGCTGATTCGGAGGAACTGTATTATGTGACTGACTCTGCAAACCTAAACCTAAAGCTGGTAGTCTGAGCACTATTTAGAAGACAGCAATATGTAATATAGCAACTACTGCAGATTTCCTACTGTCTTACCACTGTTTCAATTCGTTTATTTTATTCCCTTTAAAATTAAATTTTAAAAACTTATGCAATTAGGATGTACAAATATAGGGAGGAAATGAAACTGCTCCCACAGTAGGGAGCAGTGTGAGCCTTCCCAGCCCCCCTGCAGTGGCCACGGGGTACACACCACTCTCCACAGTGCACGGCCTTCAGCACACCCACGGCAGCAGTTGTCTGTCGCTCAAAGCCTTGGCCGATGTGATCCGCGTGGGCTCTCGTCCTGTCTTCAAAGAGCATCTCACGAGGCTCGCTGGTTCGAGGTAGGTACTGGAGGTTTTTTATTTCATTGGTAGTTCTGTGGTTTAAAAAGAGTAACATTTATATACCGAGGCTCACTTAGAACACTGAATCGTCATATAAGTCATTCAAAAGGAAATTGTAAATCACCAGCTCTCAAATCAAGCTGTTTTTAAAATGAGCAAGAACACCCCGGAAGGGGCAGCTGTAAGGAAAACCTGCCCGGAAAGAACTGTGGTTTAGCCACGGCTCCACACTGCAGTCCCCGCCAACGTGCATCTCACCTCCTGCCATCTCAGTGACCTGTGCTCAGCTTTGAAAATAGTAAGTGGAAAATCCCAGAAAGAAACGATTCCTGAGTTTTGCACTGCTGGCCATGGGAGCAGCACTCTGCAATCTGCAGCATCTCACCCAGTTCTGCCCAGAGCACAAAGCCCTCCTTGTCCAGGAAACCCGGCCACCCACCCCTCAGTCACTCGCCACCCACACCACCCACTCGTCACTCGCGGTCTTCATCCTCAGATTCACTGTCAGCATCAGCGCGCTTCTGTCCAGGCCACTCCTATCCCACTTAACGATGCTCTAAAGGCAGAGCACTGACGCTGAAACTTCATGCCTGCTTAAAGAAAAGCTGTGAAGTGCTTCTTCCTTTAAATGAAAAGGTGGACCTACAGTAAGCTATTTTCAGAGCAAGACAGACCACATCACTACAGTAGCTGCTTTCTGACTGAGCCTAATTTTAACTTAAACTTCTTCACAGGCATGCATGGACAGGGTTCAGTGCTACCTAAGGTGCCAGGCACCCTGGGGGCTGGGTGCACCCCATGAGGAATGAGGATTATGGCACCCAGAATCCTCAGCTGGGGTTGGGTCTGATGGGCAGGGGACCAGACGCCCACTGAAGTCACATGGCAACAAAGGCTGTATGGACCACCAGGTAACTCTCAGCTATGCAGCAGTGCGGCATCTTCAGGACACGGACCACTTGCCTGGCAGTACCTAGGCCCCGGGACTCCTAAATGAAACAGCAGTAACAGATGAAGCCCCTACTCCCGTGGGAGTTTAGGTTCTGGTCACAGATGTACTTTACAACTGAGAAGTAAATTAGCAAGAAAAATACAGGCCAGAAGAGCTTTCCGCCAGACATGAACAGTAAGAGGCGACACTAATGCAAGTCCCCGCTCCACCGAGGAGCAGCGGGAGCAGCCAAGCCCCAGCCACAGCTGCTCCTGTCCCCTCCTGCCAGCCTTCCACCTGCCCAGGTCCCTCCCTGCGGGCCAGAAGTCTCAGACCTCTACCTCCCCACTTTGAGCCCCTACTTACTATTCTTGTGCAACACTGCACTACAGTCTTCTGCATGTGTGCGCGCGCACACACCCCCGATGCAGCATACCTTCTGGCCAACTAATAAAAGCTTGTGCCAGGCACCGTGCTAAGCACCTTATCTGCCCTCAGCCATTAGGATATGGTGTTCATGAGACCCAACTCGTGGCCTGGAAAGCCTGTTACCTTTTCATGGCAGGTAAGAGTTAAGAACTCCTGAAAAACACATCAATTCTTTTTTGACAGGGTCTTGCTATGTAGTTCAGAGTGGCAATCCTCCTGCCTCAGCCTCCCAAATAACAGAATTATGGGTACACACCACCATGCCCAGCTCAACCTTATTTATTAATAACTTGGGGGCCAGGGATATAGCTCAGAGGCACAGTGCCTACCTTGAAAATGCAAGGTCCTGAATTCGATTCCCAATACTTCCTCCCCCCCAAAAAAAAAAAAACAAAAAATGACACACCTCTCCCTTAGGAATTCATTCATAACATTTCATTCATCCCACAATTCCTAAGTGGCAGCCACTGTGCTGAGGTGTTACACACACAACAGTAACAATCCCAGCACAACCCTGCTGTCATCTAAGCTGCCATTTAGTCCACTTCTTGGCTTCCTTTTGTTTAGTTCCAATTAATAATTGCCATACCCAGCGAAACCATTTTAAGTATTGAGAGAAAAGCTAGTATCTTTCCTAGCAGTATTAGCTCAATTCCCACAATATTAATTTAGTGTACCTATTTTTCTAAACCTTCTCTACACTCACATAAACACACATTTACACGTGAGGTTTTATTTTTTACTTTTCATAAAAACAATCCTCTTAGGTACATTATACTATATTTTACTCTTCTGATTCTATCATGACTACATCAAAAGACATTAGAAACCGTTTCAACTATTTCACCCTATTCTTTAGTGAGAATGTATAAAATGTAATCTACTTCCGCTGTGGTAGACATTCAGGCAGACTCACATTTTTTTCTTATTACAAATAGTGCTACAATTAATATTCCTCCACATTAACCTTCAATTTTTATTCCTTAAGATAGATCCCCCAAGTGTGGGGGGCTTGATCCCCACCCAATGTTATTTATGAGGTACTGCTCGGTTCTTCCCCAAGATGATCAAAGCTGCTCCGCCTTCTCTAGTAATGAAAGACTGGTTATTTACACGCTTGCGAGCTTCTAATATTTCTACTTCATTCAGTTTCCCCAAAGCCATTTGAAAATCTAACTGCAAAAATCTCTTTAAAAAAAAAAAAAATCTGCCTGAGGATTATATTTCTACTGGATTGCTCTCCATCTTTCTTCTCAATTTTGGTAATTCTTTTTATACAGTAATTTTAGTCTGTTGTGTGTTAACTACTGTTTTAGCCCTAGGTAACATTAATACTTTTTTCTTTTTGGTCTTGCTTAGGAAGACCACTTCCAGGCTTTAATTTTGATGCCTGTTCCATTTAAATCTCTAACTTCCTGTTTGACAGAAGAACTCTGTGTTTATCCATCTTCCTTCCCCACCTGGCTCACATCTGGCTCTCAACACACTCAGATCTCCTTCTGGACTCTATCCTACTCCGATAATCTGCTCAATTTTGCAGTAATTTTCTTTATCTGAAAACATGCTCCTTCCATTTATCATCTCTCTCGGTGTTGATGGGTAAAATGCTGGGACCCTGAGCCCAACTGAAATGCACCCCAGGGTGCAGGACTCCCCTCCTTCCTGGCTGGGCCAGGCTTTTAGGGTGTTACTCACACCCGCTGTCAGATGACAGGTTTTCAGTAGTTCTTGTTGAGTTCATTTCAAAACAGTTTCTAATGTCTCTGTAGGAAGCTGAGTTTTTCCACTCCTTGTTAAAATTTATTGTTCTTTCCCACATTGCTCATGTATTATTTACACTGGATGTCTTATAACAAACTAGCAGTATCGTAGTTACTTCTGAATTTACATTCCAATTGTGCTCTACATTTTCCCTTCCTCCCTCCAGTTTCCAGCATGCACACACAAATGTGCACACACACACAGCCCGATACACAGTCGTGCCTCGGCAGTAAAAGTGCACGTCTGCCATCCATACCTCTTCCTCTTGAAAGGTGACTTGGGCACGTCAGCCACGGGGATCATCTGCTCGCCTGGACGCACCCACATGATGGGGCCATCGTCGCTGTCTCTGCGACTCTCCAGCTGGAGGCTTGACAGGGTCCCCCACGGCAGTGTGCACTGGAGAAAGAGCAGTGCAGAATCCACGATTGCAAACAGACCCTAGGGAGCACTGCTCTTCAACAGCACTTACAGATGTGAAGGGAACCCGAGGCTGGACACTCCACACACTCACCCCCTTCCTGCACACAGCTCCGCCTCAAACACAGCCAGAGAACAAATACTCAGGCGGTTCCCCCACCCTGCCAGAGGCACGACTCTCCGTATTCATCATTTGTTATTCTGCCTTCTCCCCAATATATGAGGCATACGATTTTACTAAGTTAACAAAATAAATGCTCCCTATAATTATAAAAATTAACAACAAAAACCTGTTGGTTTTTTTGAGACAGGGATTACTATGCAGCTCAGACTGGCCTTGAAGTCACAGCTATCTTCCTGCCTCAGCCTCCCAAATGCTGGGATTACAGACATGTGCCACCATGCCTAGCCCAAGAATAACATTTGAATTTTTCTTTTTTCCTTTTATTTTTTAAACACTCTATCTCTGTAGCCCAGGCTGGCCTTGAACTCATTCACTGTGTAACCCAGGCTGGCTGCAAAACTTGTGTCCATCTTCCCTTCTCAGGCTACTGAGTGCTGGGGTCACAAGTGTGTCACAAGTGTCCACCACACCAGGCTGGATTCTGAATTTTAACAACAGAGCAGAGTGTGGCAGCTCATGCCTATAATCCAACACCTGGGAGGCTAAAGCAGGAAGGTCCCAAGTTCAGGCTACCCTGCTGTGTAGCAAGTTCAAGGGCAATCTGAACCTCACAGTGAAACAGTGTCTCAAAAATAAACAAACAAATGAAAACCAAATAAATAAAAACCAGATGGTAATCAAATGCTAATAAAACAAAAAGGGAAAGAAAATCTACTTCTGTGTAATTGTCTTAAAGAGGTTGTTGGCTTAAAGCAGATATTAAAGTGTTTTTTAAGAGAAAACGAGTGGGAGGTAGGAAAGAGGAAAAAAAGAAATATACTTCTATGAAATGATGAGGATGGTATTTAAAAATTACATGCCCTTCTGAAACAGGGAAGGACTATTAAGTACCTCTTTAAAAATGCACTTAGTTCGTTTGTTTCAAAAATAAAATTTGAAGCAACTACATAAATAATATTTGGAAATCTGTTTTTATTTGGTACAGGGGACTGAACTCACCACCTCATGCTTGCCAGGCAAGCACTTATACCTCTAGCTAAATCTCCAGTCCTTAGAAATATTTTTAAATATTCAACAGGCCAGGTATGGGGCACATGCTTTTAATGCCAGCCCTTAAAAGGCTGAGGCAGGAGGATCACTTCAAATTCAAGGCCTGCCTGGACTATACAGCAAGACCCTGTTTCAAAAAAACATCAAAAAATATTCAATAAAAAGTGCAAATCCCATGATGTAATCAGTTGGAAGAAACACAAGAGGAGCAAAAAGTTAAAAGGGTCAATGGGGAAAAGAAAGAAACCAACAAAGGGAAAAGGAAGATATATAGACGCGCACCATAGGGAATCGATCAGCAGACATGAATCGGGAGGACCAGTGACCGCTACAGAGGCCCGGCGCCCCATCCACCCCGTGCGAGGCAGGGGTGGACCCGAGCCACCCCGACCGACCACCCCGCACTGCACAGCCAGGAGGACGACGCACCCAGCAGCAGTTCGGCCCAGAGATCCTGCAGGAACTGAAGGGCGCTGTGCTGCCCGGCCCATGGGTCCCTTCTGCAGCTGAAGGAGCGCGCTCTGCTTGGCCACATAGGAGCGGCCTCGGCTGAGCCACACGTGCAGGGCTGCTTGCCATGCAGGACCGCGTCCTTCTGCCCTTTGACGCTGACTCTGAAAAGAGCTGCCGAACAGATGGAACCCCGTTTCCCAGAGGGAGTGACCAGAAAACACTATATTCCGGCTCGCCACCGCCCTGCACGAAGGCCTACATCCCAGGTACGCGCTACACACGACCGTGTCCTGTCTTCCCGGGGTCCCTAAGACCAGCACGCTTGAGCCCGGGCCTCGCCGCCCACCTGCATTGCCCACAGCGTGCACTTAGCCCCCGGTGGGCGGGAGGGCCGGGCGCTAGCCTCCTCCTACCTTGAGAAAGGGCGACTCCTCCAGCATGTCCAGGAACTCAGGGAAGTAATCGCCCACCTCCTCATCCACCGCTCCCACCAGGCTGATCTGTCGCATTGGGCCGGCTCTGTAAGTACCGTGGGAATATGTTCTTTTTACCTGAAGAATACAAATTTAATCAACAGTTACTCCTAAAATAATGCTTGTTACTGTCGTATTATAATACTTTACACTGTCTTGGAATATTAGCATGTAATATGAGGCAAAACAAAAGCCTTTACTAACAATAACAAATAAGGCATTTAAAAAACCCCATATACTAAATCAAGTTTTTTTCTGTATCTATTTTCATGCACTGCTTATGAAAACTCAGATAAGCAACATAATTTTAAACAAATAACATCTCCTTATTGTGTGAGCTCTAATGGTACTGAAACTGCTTTCAGAAGCAGGTATGCCTGCGTTTCTCTAAAGTGCTGGTTCATATCCTCCTAAGTTTAAGGTACTCTCTGAAAAAGCTACAGTAACCATTGCTGCTAGTTTCACCCTTACAAAGCCAGCGGGATGTTCTTCCTTTCTCAGTCTTAGCGGTCAGGCAGTGTGCAGCGTAACACACTAATTATAAGTGTGATTTGGGCCTGGAGATTTAGCTCAGCGGCATAAGCGCCTGACTTGCAAGCAGGTAGTTGTGAGTTCGATCCCTGGTACCGATAAAAAGGAAAAAGACAAAAAAAAAAGTGTGACCTGGCCACCACGAGTCACTTCTCAGAACCCCACTGCAGACACTGGGGTCCACGCCCCACCTGGCGCTCCCATCTCCACTTGTTCCTGTCTCCAAGAAGAGTCCCCCTCCAGTACGGCCAAGCTCTAAGTCCAAGAGCTGACTGTGTCACCCCTGCAGCCCTGACGTCTAGATGCCCGGACAGCAGCAGGAGGACAAAGCCAGGCATGGCGTGCACCTGTGTGACGCAGTCCTCAGCACCGAGCGGTGACCTGAGGGAAGACAGCACATCCAGGGTCCGTGACGCTGTCCGGGGCCTCACTTGGGATCTGCGCACAGCCATGCAGCACTCTGAGCAGCTCTGCAGCCGTAAGGGTGGCTCAGGAACAGGGAGGACAGCTCAGTGCCAAAGCATCTGCCTACTATGCGAGAGGCCTAGGTTTGATCCCCAGCACTAGAAAAATTTTTAAGAAGTGAAATCAGGGGCGGGGGATATAGCTCAGCAGTGCAGCATCTGCCTAGCAAGCGCAAGGTCCCAAGTTCCACTCCTGGTACCAAAAAAAAAAAAAGTTAAATCAAAACAACTTATACTTAAAACAACATTTCCAAGTGTTTTGAAATGTAACATTTAGCTTTTAAAAGGCAGCTTAGGCAGGTAATACAGTAGGTAACTTTCCTATGTGTCAAACTTGCCCATCTAAATGAGTCAAATATCTCGTGTAAATCACTAGGTTCTAACAAAGCAAGAAACAAATTCTTGCTGCCCAGGTGGTTCGTTCTTTATCACAGGACCAATAATGATTACAATGAATCCCATAACTGGGGAGGCTGATGCAGGAGAATCACTGTGATTCTGAGGCCAGCCTGGGCTACACAGTGGGACTCTGTCGCAAAAGAACAATAAAATAAAAAAGTATAGATCTAAGTATTAAAAAACTACAATGGTCTATTAAAAAAATAATAGTATAGATCTAAGTATTAAAAAACTACAATGGTCTACTTAAAATACTTAGATCTATCATGAAGAGAAGGAGGCCTTTAGGAGAGCAATTTTCAGTGAGTGAATTCTACTAAAATAATAAAACATGGCTCAATTTTATGAGCTCTCCCAAGGAAACAGATACACTAAACACACTTTTAAAGCCAGCCAAATGTATTGTTGCTCATTAGATTTTTCCAATAGAGTACCCACAAGAATTAAATACATCCCTACAAAAGCCATACCAACAAAAAAACAGATGCTCTTAAATACAAAGACCCGCAGACCTCAGCTAAGAAAACCTTAACTCTCAATCAGACCGCGGTCCTTGTATATTCAGTCCAGAAAATGAGGCCTTGCTAACCACAAAATTATTCATTTCTCAAATAACTAGAACAGCTACATTCTGCCCTACTCGTTACTAGACAATTCAGGTAACTATTTCCACTCTGAAAAAGATGCCATTGCTAAGCTAGAGAAAGTAGAAACAAATACAATCAGCATTTAGAAAACCAGGACTAATTATTAACAAACTTAGCGTTCAGCACTGCAGAGTAACATTCCAGAGCTTAATACAAGTAATAACATGCGTCTCAGTCAGCAGAGGGACAAATGACACACTTGCCAACACCCCCAGTCCTCCACCTGCACTGAACTGATGCCGCCTGCCAGAGCAGAATGGGTCACAGCCTAAACATGCACCACTGACCCAGCCATCACGTTTGATCCTGATTATATACCTGCATTGACCCACCTTCTGGTTTACACTTGCAGATCTAAGTAAGTGCAGGCCAAACATTAAGTTTTTCTCCTATTCTGCGTTTACTGTGGGACCCCTTAAGAAGAGACTATTTTTGAGCATTTTTGTTTTAAAATGTGATCCCCTTAAAATTCCTAAGTATTTTGAAAGATTTTGGGGAAACCTAAATTTTTTTTACATTTTATTTAAGGAGAAAAAGAAAAAAAAACAGAAAAAGGGTATAAGTTATATAGAATTTCAGAAAAATAAACAGCAGGAAATCACTAGTTAATAGATTACATATTGTCATCTTAGAAATAGTTGTTCAAGTTAAAAAATTAAAGCATATAAAGTGGACATTCAAACAGTGAGACTGCAAACAGTTCTGTTCAATGATCCAACAACTCAGTAATATGGTTATCTATCTTATACACTTAAATATACATGCAGTTATATCCTTTAGAGCACTTGCTTTTCTTCTCTTATACAATGACAATTACACATTTTGGGTTTTATTACTCCCACAGTTCTAATTACATTTTTTGAAGAGAATAAAACCAAATGTGACATAACAAAACAGAGTCAGTCAAATCAATAGGATGGACATAATATATAATATAAAAACAGAATACAGGTGATCAACAATGGTTACCATACTGCCTCTTGCTATCTTAAAAAGAATTGCCTATATCATCAGTTATAATAAAATTGAACAAAACAATAAAGAACAAAACCAATAAAACCAAAACACTGGAGACATTACAGGACTTAAAAGAAGATAATAGTCAAACCAGAATGGGCATCATAATGAATCTTATTGTTTTCGTAGCTGTTGCCTATACTCTCGAACTTGGTACTATCAAGCAAAACAGAATAGAGGAAAATCAGTCAAAACAAGATGGTGAGAGCAATACAGGGTTTCAAATCAAGTGAATAGGAAATCAAAGTGGGTTATTATAATATATCCTGCTATTTTTTGTTTTTCCCTTAATTAAAAAGACAAAAATAAAAAAGTAAATAATAAAAAAAGGAGATTGAGATAAAAGAGGACATAACAACAAAACAGCACAGGTCAAAACATAACCATTTGGGGCTGGGGATTTAGCTCAGTGGCATAAGCACCTGCCTTGCAAGCAGGCAGTCGTGAGTTCGATCCCTGATACCAGTAAAAAAAAAAAAAAAAATAACAATTTAAGTAAAATAGTGTTTCACCATAAGATATCCCAACATAAAAGTAGTTACCATAGTGTCTCTTTCCTTGAAATCTTTTGAGTATAACTTAGTATACCGTAGCATTAAACATATCAAGACAATGTAAAACCATTCAAGAGAATGACAATATTACAGGGTATTTAGAATCAACTAACAGAAAATGGACAATGGTTTCTGTATAACCTCCTTGTCTATAAAAGTTTTTGTTTATATTATCACATATAATAAAATCCAGTAAGATACAATATGTTAAGACCGATGGAGACAGAAGAACAAAAGCTTCATGGGACTTCAAAACAAGAGGATATTAAATCAGCACTACCTATTATGATGTCTTGTTTTCTCCAAAATAGCTGTTCCTACCATCCAGCCTTCTCTGCCTCATTTCTGTTGAGCTCTTTTTCTGTCATTAGTTGTCAGTTTGTCTTCTTCATTTTGCTTTCTGCTCCATTCATTGTGGCATCTCTGCCATTGTTTCTGGAATCTTGGTATTTTTGTTTAGAATGTCCTGCAGTATTCTTTGGAGAGTTGAATTGGTGGTTTCAAATTCCCTTAGTTCCTCTTTATCCTGGAAGCATCTTGTTTTTCCATCAATTTCTAGGGACAGTTGTGCAGGATATATCAATCTTGGCTGGAGGCTATTATCTTTCAAAGCTTCAATTATTTCTCCCCACACTCTTTGTGATTTGATGGTTTGTGCCGAGAAGTCTGCTGTAATTCTGATGGGTGTTCCCTTGTAAGTGATCTGTTTCTTGTCTCTCACAGCTTTTAATAATATTCTGTTCTTATATTGGATTTCTGGAATTTTGATTATTATATGCCTGGGTGTAGCTTTGTTTGGGTTGTAGGTGGCTGGTGTCCTGTATGCCTCATACATCTGAGTATATTTACCTTTTGCTAAATTAGGAAAATTCTCCTGGATTATTTCTGTGAATAGCTTTTGTAGTTCATTTGTTTGAGTCCCTACTTCTTCTTTTATGTTCTTAATTCTTAAGTTATAGATCCTCTTATCATCTTCAAGTCTTTGTATTATTGCTGTTTGTTTTCTTGTTATTTTTAAGAAGTTTTTCATTTCATGCTCCCACATTATAAATCTGTCCTCCAGTTCTGATAATCTATCCTTAGTTTCTTTCAAGCTGTTATGCCAGCTTTCAATAGAGTTTTTAGTTTCCTGGTAATCTCTTTGAACCTGCTTCATGTATTCTGTTTTCTCTATTTTCTCCATCAAACAATTCTCCCCTTTTTTTCTGTTCTTCCATTCCACCAACTGTTTTTTCTTGGGCGGTGTTTAGCATTTCTCTAACTATTCTATTTATATCTTGCTTTAGGTCATTAAATACTTCACTTTTGAACTCGTCTATGAGGCTCTGGAGATATCACTTTATGTCTATTGGTGCCGTGTCTGATATTGCATGTTTTCTGTCCTCATTGTCCTTTGCATTTACCTTTCCTGGATCAGTGTTCTCAGGATTGGGGGCCGAGGACCCTTTCTTGTTGCTCCCTCTTCC